TGACGAGTTTAGCAGTTACCAGGGAGGATGTTCTTAAACAAATAGTAAAACTCAAACCAAACAAATCCCCAGGGCCGGATGAAGTGTTTGCCAGGGTGCTTAAAGAATGCAAAGAGGAGCTTTGTGATCCACTGTCAACCATATTTAATAAATCAATAGAGTCAGGCAGAGTGCCAGAGTTTTGGAAAGTTGCTAATGTGATACCAGTTTTTAAGAAAGGAGATAGATCACTTGCGTCTAACTATCGACCAATTAGCCTAACGTCTATTGTGGGAAAGTTACTCGAATCTATAATAGCAAATAAAATTCGTCTTCATCTTGAAAAACATAAATTAATAATTGAGTCGCAACATGGTTTTATAAATGGCCGTTCATGTTTAACAAATTTGTTATCTTTTTATTCTAGCATTGTTGAGGCAGTTGATAGTGGTAAGGATTGCGATGTTGTATACCTTGACTTTAGCAAAGCTTTTGATACAGTGCCACATGAAAGACTGATTAAAAAAATAGTCTCATGGTATTGGGGGTGCTATATTAAGCTGGATTAGGGCATGGCTATACCAAAGGAAACAGAGAGTTAGTATAAATGGAATCAAGTCAGAGTGGGAAAATGTTGTAAGTGGAGTGCCTCAAGGCTCTGTCCTGGGACCTCTGTTGTTTATAATATATATAAATGATTTAGATTCAGGTTTGAGTAGCAACATTTGCAAATTTGCCGATGGTACGAAAATCGGTAGGGAAATTAATTCGGAGGAGGACTCACTATCACTTCAAGTTGATCTAGATAGGGTTTTGAAATGGTCAAAGGATTGGCAGATGCAGTTTAATGCTGATAAATGTAAAGTTCTGAGGTTAGGTAATGATGATAGAGTTACAAGATACGAGCTAGATGGTGTTGTGATTGCGAAGTCGGATTGCGAAAGGGATCTGGGAGTTATGATTAGTAAGAATTTAAAACAAAAGGATCAATGCATAAATGTTCGTAATAAGGCAAATCGGACACTTGGATTTATTAATCGCAGCGTTTGTAACAAGACACCTGGTGTGGTTCTCAAGCTATATCTTGCTCTAGTTAGGCCCCATTTAGATTATGCAGTTCAGTTTTGGTCGCCATATTATAGAATGGATATAAATTCACTTGAACGTGTCCAGCGTAGGATGACTAAGTTAATTCCCCAAATTAGAAATCTTTCATATGAAGAAAGATTAACAAAGCTTAAGTTGCATTCACTGGAAAGGCGAAGAGTTAGGGGTGACATGATAGAGGTTTACAAGTGGATGAATGGACATAACCGGGGGGATATTAATAGGGTATTAAAAGTATCAACACAGGACAGAACACGAAACAATGGATATAAATTGGATAAGTTTAGATTTAGGAAAGACTTGGGTAAATACTGGTTCAGTAACAGGGTTGTTGATTTGTGGAACCAGTTGCCGCGTGACGTTGTGGAGGTGGGGTCCCTCGATTGTTTCAAGCACGGGTTGGACAAGTATATGAGTGGGATTGGGTGGTTATAGAATAGGAGCTGCCTCGTATGGGCCAATAGGCCTTCTGCAGTTACCTTTGTTCTTATGTTCTTATGTTCTTATGCCTGTCCCCTCGATACAATGAATTATAACAAGCATAGATACATAAGTAGTTAGTTAATAAATTTAATTATCTATAAAGATGGTTGGGCAATATTTTTGTGAGGAATTATTTCCAGCTAACGGAGCTCCAGTGAAAGCGGGTTCGCTGGAGATAGTGTAGTAGAGCTGGACGATAGCCTGATAAGATTACACCCACATACCATAACCGTCATTGGTAAATATTTGGATCCGGAAACCTTCGGAAACCACACGCCCCCCTACACCTGGGCCTTCATGGACCTCCGGAAACCACGCCGCCCCTACACTGGCTTCCGGGGAGGCTTTACTGGGAACTTGTATATTTAAATAAAAAAATAAAAAAAAATAAAAAAATAAAAGGAAGTGGGTGGTAGGAGGACAGAAACTGTATTGGAGGGGACCCAAACATTCCCTCTAATGCGTTATGTGTGGTTTCCTCCGAGGCTAAGGGTCCCCCCTTCTTCCAGCCAGAGGTGGCACTCCCTTCCCTTTGAATAAAATAAAAACAATAAAATAAGAATGGTATCTTTACATTCTCACTCATTCATTCAGAGTGCATGGAATGGGGTTTGAAAAGATGTAGTGTCATCAACAACATCCTACCAGTAAATGATATATAACACCAAGAACCCAAACAAAGTGAACAACGCCCACTGGAAACAGATACAAGTTCAAGTTCAAGTATGTTTATTGAGACAAGAAGAAATACATCTCAAAGGGATAGAGTAGCTTAGGCTATTTATATCCCCCATCGGAAACAGGTAAACAGCACCCTAAACACACTAAATACATATTAACTCTGAATAGACATACAACACTTAGGTAATTACACTCGAAATTGGCGCGCAACACCCCTTGCACGGGGTATGGTCGTTTCGAACACGAGACGATTCGTCGAAGCTGGTTTTATATATAATAATAAAAGTAAGTCAGGTAAAAATACATACATTCAAAAGGAGTTACAAACAGAATGTTGGATTTCTAGATAGAGCTAGTGCATACTATTACTAAAGCCACTATAATACGCACAGCGTATTTGTTAACAAGTTAACCTGTTTGTTAAACTCGTATATTTTATTATGCTAGGCTGTATTAGCTTAGGTTAGGGTGTATTTGCCTTCGTTTGGTTAGGTTAAGTTTGTTTGGGTTAAGTTAGGTTTGATTGGGTTGAGCTAGGTTAAGTAAGTTTCAAAAATCCGTTTACGAAGCGTCTTGTGTACGAAGTGACTTGTATACCTTCTCACAACATTTGTTTTGATGCTATCCTCATGTGCCAAATGTTCCATGGCACTTATTTGTCAAAGATATTTTAACAAAGCTTTTGATAATTAATTTTAGCATCCGTTAAAAAATATATCTATCTACTAAGTTAGGTTAAATTAATACTATATGAGCATAATGACTTATAGAAGTATTATTTACGTGCAATAAAAACACTTGGCAATGATGCTCCCCAGTGTTGACAAGGTGATCACTGGAGGCGACGGAGCTGGGGCTGTCTTCAACGTTTTTATATTAATCTCTAATTGGTTTAATTATGGCTGAATCTTCTACCAAGTTCATCTTCAAGAAACGATCCAGTAGGCCAGGAGGCGCCATTCGCAAGAGAAAAGCTGGGAGTGGTAATAGTAAGTATTGGGACCGCCAAGGGAAACTGTTGTGCAGTTAGTCTATTATTAATAAACTTTGTGTATTGATAGTGTATATCTTTAACCTTGATTGCATTATGTCTACACAAACATTGACAAATGAGCTCTAGAAAAGTCTTGGGCCTGAATGTAGATAATTGTATTTGTGCTGCTTTTTCAGCCATGTTCCCCCTTTTTTTATTTTTATTTTTATTTGTTCTCAACACATTTTATTCTTTGTACTCAATTAGTATTAGGTTTTAGTCATTAATGTTTTTCCTGCCCGAAATGCTTTGCGTAATAGTGGCTTTAGGCATTGTATGTACTAGCTCTATCTATAAATCGATCAAATTTTGTAAAATCTCTTGTATGTATGTATGTACCTTACCTGAATAAACATTTATTTATTTATTTATTTATATTTATTTATTTATTTATTTTAGAATTGTCTTGGCATATCTATTGCACCTCTGCTTTTCAACAAGGCTAGATTACCCTCCCATGTTGGAATATGTGGGCATGAACGAGCAGATGTGCTGGCTGCTGAAGGCGCTGAAGGAGACCATATTGAATACTTAATACCCAAGACTCTGCTACAGATTAGAGGTATTGTCAGGCAACATCACCGTGACAAGGTAACTGAGGAAAAGGGGATAGAAGCACAAACCAGTGAATCTGTCCGATGGTACAACATGGTTGCAGCAGGCAATCCCAATCATTATGGACAAAGAAGAGGAGAATGCGGGAGAGAATCGGTAATAGCGAGAATCCGTCTTGGATACAAATATCCATGGCATTTCGGAATGGAAACAACAGCTGAGCAGCAGAGTTGCAGAATCTGTGATGAAAGTGACGGACACTGCCTTGACCACTACCTGAAAGAATGTGAACACCTGAGAGACATTAGAAATATGTGTAGAATAATAAACCCCATATTGTTTGAGTTAGGAAAACACTATTTGTCAAATATTGACACTTCTTAAAAGATTCCCCCATTTTGCACCTGCAAGATAACATAAGATATTAAGGGTTGACATATGTTAATCTTCTTGTTTGAGGAGCTGTTCACTTGAGACAGTTCAGCAAATCCCAGCTGCATCTGGGGTACAAGTGACAGGATGAACAACCCAGCGGGTTTTCTTCCTATTGGAGAGTGTTGTACATGCTGCTATGGCGGTATGTCCACTCACAGGATGAGCGGCGCTGCCCAATAAACTTGCCCCATGGGGCAAAATTTAAATTTAAAAGCATAAGCATATACAAAAATGAAATACAATTTTAATAATATTTACAATATTAAAAGCCAAAGACAGCAAAAAACTAATAAGATCTGTTGGAAATTACTAAATGTGGCAATCCAGATTTCAACAGGGAAAATAAAATATCCATGTCTAGATCTAAGTTTTCAGTGGTCAATAAAGTAGAAAATTAAATGGAGGTATGATTTTTTAAGATTTCACTATTTATAAGTAGATTTTCAGTTGCTTCTGATCCTACTCTTCTTACCTGGCCTTCCCAAATTACAGTGTTATTTCTTTTAAAAATAATGGATATATTGTAGTTGTCTGGCTTATTGTTTTTTAAGTGCTCAGTGTTGTACTTCACGTACTGCCACCAGATGGCAGGTGTAGGCAACTAAACGAACTTCCCAGCAGCTTGTTCGGGTGCTCCTTGACAATTTGGTGGGGGGAGTTTGTCAAAGTGGGCTTGTAAAGGCTTTGACTGTGCAGTACATACAAATTTTTCTCCATCTTGCTTCAGTTGGATGATCTCCAATGCCCTCTAGTACAGTGCTGTTATCACAAGACAAGTCTGGCCTCAGGCCGAGCTTGGGGAAATAGAAGAACTCGCAGAACTGACACCAGGTAAATGTCAGGTAAGCTACTATTATAACTGGGAAAATAAATGAAAAGTTCCAAATAGTGCCAGTACAGCGTATGTACTTAGAATGTTGCCCTCCCTGAGTGCAGGATTTTCACCCTTGTTGTTAGCAGAAAATAAATTTAGAGGCCAAGCAATTGAATTTACTCAAAGGTACTTTTCACATACAACACACTTAATGCCTACTTTTGTGTTTGTTTTTGCTGGTTGGTCCAGGGCCATCAATTGCTCATTACCAATGTAGTATTAAGCAATGTATTAATGCAACATTGTTGATGAGCCTAAACACACAACCAGAATGTCGTACAGAAGTTAATCCTTACATTTATACATGTAATTACATTGCTATGGGGTGATTATATTCTATTGGCTTACATGATCATTTATTATCAATGCAAAATATTTATTTTCATTGGAATGACATGTATTTCTCCCAGAATACTGGCTAACAAAAGAAAATACAGTATATCTTTAAGATATAGCATTTTAATCATGTGGTACTAATTAATAATTATTAATTAATTATAGTATTGTAATAATAATTGTTGTAATTAATAAGTATTACTCTTCCTTCTGCTGGGTCATGAAGGAAGCTGACCTCAGGTAAAAGGAGGCTGTGATGCTCTCTGTCTGGAACCCTGTAGGAGCGGGGCTCGGACGTCCACCGCTTGGGGCTTGTGCAGCCCAAGCTCTGCTTCAGGGTCGTTCTTCTCCGGCCCCGACTATGGCAGTCTCCGGGTTTAGAGTCCCTGTGCCTTCTTTTACCAACTTCGAGGTAAACTTTGAAGCTGGAGTCCCTAGGGCAGTTTGTTGTTGCCTTCAACCTCATTCTGACAGTTCCTGCAATGGCACTGAAACTTATAATTTCTGATAATAGTTTCATGATCAACTATTATCAATTCAGATAATAGTTGTATTGGAGTTTGCCTTTCCATTGAAGACTTGTGGCACCGTGGAGAGGGGGACCTGCTGCATGGGTGGCAGCTTCTACCCCATATCAACCTACCCTTGCTTTGCGCCTTGAAGAGGCTACTCCAGACCGATAATCAGAGTGCAACTCCATAGTCTCCGGAGACCGATTGATGCCTACTACTACTACTTTATTTGTAGCAACTTCAGAGATACTGCAATTTATTGACTTAAAAGGGGTCTTTGTGACCATATTCCTAAAAAGAAATCACAAGGTTCCCTATGATGGTGAAGAGTCTAGCCTATTTTAAAATTTAAGTGTTTACCATGCTGTCTGCATTGTGTTATATATAATGACTAATAGTTGGAGGAACTAGCAAAGCAATTTATCTTGCTTCTGGTAATTTGACAAGCTAAGACCAAATTAGCCACGTGCCGATTGCGAACCATCCACTAGTCACAGGCGGATCATTTCTTGTGTAACATCAAAGTAGGCACAAGTCTTCAGTGTAACTTGTACTTGTGATTCTTCACCAGAATAATCTGTGCTTAACAATAATTTATAAGCATTGTAGTTCTGAAGTTATTCCAAGATCCACAAGATGAGTATTGTAACTGGAATTTAATTTTCTAATTTAAAAAGGCTTATTGCATTCTTCTAGGTAGCAGTGAAGATGACACAAAAGTAATCAAGAAAGAGAAGAAAGTTGATCTAAGAAACCCTATGGTTCAGCGAAGCAAGAATAGAGGCAGGATACATGAAGATAATTCCTCAAGTGATGACAGTGATGATGATATAAGGTACACTGTTTAGTATAAAGTATTTATTATTTACGTATATCATTTCTCATCTCACTTCTTGGCAACTTCTGGAAGGTTTAATTTCCACTGATTTTTGTTAATTTATTGTGCACCCCATACCCATCCTATGGACTGTAGTGGAAAAAGTTTCAGAGGCACAAAGTGGGCTCAGGAATTGAACCTCAAAATGTATATCAGTAGTCTTTTTATATCACAATTGATTCAAGAATCGCACCCTGATCAATCAGGCTGTGATTCATACGTCAAACTGTGAGCAACGGCATCTAACGGCCTAGTTTACCAGACCACCATCCAGGAGGTTGGGTCAGAAACTGGGCTGCAGAGACATTGATTTCTGGAACTGACAAAAAGTATTTTGGTCAGAAATGGTTGGGCAAGTTTCCTTCCACCTAATGTCTCTGTTCACCTAGTGGTAAATGGGTACCCGGGAGTTCAGTCCATCCTCCTAAGGTTTCCCAACGTCAAGAAAATGGTCAATTTAAACTGTCCACCTAACCTACCAGAGAACCCAAAACTGAAAATGGGATAGTACGTCACTTTTGCGAGCCACTTTCATTTTCTAGTAAGACAGTTTTTTCCTTATGTATCGCATACTAGCAAAAAGCGACATTTTTTGTGGGAGGACAGGTTGGGGAGTTAGGCAACTATTGTGAGTTGAATCCTGGGGAAGGTCAATAGTTCGGCCAAGAGGAAACTCGGTACAGACTTTGTCCCCAACAATGGAAATTATGTAGATGAGACAGATGTAATTGTTGGTTAAATTACAGGTTGTGCTGAAGTAGAAGGATCATTTAATGAGCCAGGGGAAGCAATTGAAGAAAGGAATTGTTTCTTTGCAATTTCTTCAACTATTAAAAGTTTTTTCAGGATTTCTCTTCTAATGTTCTTAAAATTGGTGTGCATCTTGTACTGGCTTAACATGTGTGGAACACTATATTCATTTTTGGACTCCATAATATGTAGAATTTTTAAAATGAACTCTTTACCGCTTCCAGGCTTACTTCGGTCATTTCACCTCTATCTTATTCCTGCTCTTCCTCTTAATTCTGAGACTGCCACTAGGTCTGTAAACTCTGGGTCAGTTAATGTAGGTACTGAACCTACTTTAACTGAACTGAAGACTACTGGAGTGGAGTGCCTCACCTTGGTCTGTACATGACTTTTTGATTCAAATATTTGAGCTTTTGGTTAGGGGGTGTTCTAATTGGTTGTGTTTCAGATGCACTGGGGGTTCATGTGCTTGTTTATTTGACATGAATTGATTGCCTTTCATAGCTTAGGAGTTCTGGCTGCATTTGGTGTCTGTTCTTTCAGTGAGTGTCTCCAGTGCCTGGGTGTCCTGTCTGGCTAATGACCTTCATGCCCTGGCAATTTCCACACAGGTCTTTGGCATGGTTTGTTGTGGGTTGACCCATTGAGTCTGCACTCGCTACTAGTATTTGAGAGTCTGATGGGTGCCCATTGTTTCTACTACTGGGTGATGATCATTCTCTCTGCCTCTGCCATACTACTTGTTGGGTTGGTGACACCTACAATCCTTCCTCCTGTGGGTGTGGTTTGTTCGGCTTTTGGTCTTCCCACTCTCGTTTCTGACTCCGAAGTGTCTGAGGGTTTCAGACTTGCAGCAGGGTTTAGCTTGGTGATGTAGCTCGGTCTTCTCTGAGGGTGGTCCCATCCTCTTTCATGGCAGAAGTTGTTGAGCCATCTGGTCTCACTGGTGTCTTGAAGTTTTGTCTTCATGACCCTCTCCAGACCTCCTTGGTAGAATGCCTTTCATTCTCAGGTGTTGGGTGAGGACAATGGCTCTGCCCAGGATCCTTCATGGCAGGCTTCTGGTGCTTCCAGGGAATCTGTTGAGGGTTCTTGGGTGCCCCTCACCCCTGCTTCCTACTGACATAAAAGGAGCCACTCGAGCTCTATCAGAAAGAAGTGTTTCATTACATTTAATTGTTTTTTATAATAATTAAAAAATATTTATTAAAGACAAGTATTTATTGATTAATCTTATGAACTGCTGATGATAATAATTATAATGATGATGATAATTATAATAAACTATAATTAATTTTAATTACAGTGCAGCGTACAAGTCTCAACGCACGAGAGAAAGAGAAGGACCAAAAGACATGGGTGCTACATCCACAGTTCAGTTTGAGACAGAAAAAGATAGGGATGCTCAGGCAATTTATGAAAGAACACTTCAGGTTAATAAAGTAAGTATAAAATGAAGAATCTTGTAACCAGTTATCAGAGTAAGGATGACTTATGATGAAAGGTTTGATGGTGGTATCACATTCATAAACAATCCGTTTGGATCTTTGATCTTTAGTGTGTTCAGGGTTTCATTGAAAACAGAATTGTACTGTAACCTCTGTATTTCACTCAGTTCTTTGTTGTTATCTGTAAAAGTTCCATCACCCTTTTGCAAGGGCCCAATGTAAGATATAGTTTTTGTTATAAATTTTGCATAGAAGAAAAAGTATTTTAGATTCCTTTATTTCACTTATGGCCTTTTGCTATCTGCCTCTCCTGGATTTTATGTGATTCTTTCAACCTTAGCTCATTCGTTTCTATTTCTCTACATAACCTTCTTTGTCGTACTTGGGACAGTGGAGCACTCGAGATTTTTTGCAATTTGTTTTCTATATTTATAGAGGGAACACTGTTCTTGTTTCAGTGAGAGAGTATAGAATATCATGCTGCCTTACATTGCATGTGCACGTTGGAAGCGGTCATGTGGATCTCGATGCAGTGCACAATTGCACTGTCTTTAACTGTCTTTAAGTTGTTTGTTATGCATTTAGGACAGTCATATTTACTATCTAAAGATAGAGGACAAGATGGACACTTTTTGGGTACTACGATGGCCATCATATGCCTGTTATCAAGAATGCCAGAAGGAACAAAAGAAAAGTCGTCTGAGAATGCATGGTACTCAGGGCCGTAGCCAGGAGGAGCAGAGTGGTAGTCAGAGGCAGTAAGATGCTGCGTATTGCCCAGGGAAATTGCCCAAGGCTACAACATCAGGTCATCCAGCTGGGTGTGAGGTCATGTACTCACTCTCCTACAGCTTCCAAGCGTTTCCACTATTCTCAACTGCTATGACAGCATTGCTGTGATTTGCCAGTTTTGGTAACTGATGTCTGATTAGTTCTGGCACCAGGGACCAGCTTGGACAAGGATTGGAGGCAGCCAGCCACCTTTGGTGGTACTGTTTCTTATTCTGTTTCCGGAGTCTGTTGTACGGGTGAAGGATTGTTTGTGCTTGATTCGGTCAAATCAAGACAAATCAAAATTCCCTTTAGATGCCATAAATGTTCTCGAGCTCTACTGTGCGTATTCACCATGTCCCATTACAGAATTGCACAGGTTATGCAATTAAAATTCAATTAAATCCACAGGTTGTGGCTTTAAAGCTAATTAGAGATTATTTTTATACAAATATTGCTTATGTTAAAGATATTCAGGCAGAATTTATTGACCTTGTGAATGATAAGCGCTCATGATCTCTTTGAGAAAGAATCTGTTATTAAGTTTTGGTATAAGATATTCAAGTCGTACTCATGTCTTGCAGTGGAAGCTGTTTGCTCTCTTTTTACCTTTCCCAACAACATATTTGTTTGTATAAATGTTCCAGCATTGTGGCAATTCATCCTCATGACTAAAGCTGGCATCCACTTGGATGTGTGAGGAGTAGCATTAGTAACTGTAAGTGACTGCAAATGCAAACTGCCTGCATGGAGACTGTTGTAGGCCACTTCTTGAATCACTCGATATAAATATACTATTGATATTGTATACTGTATGTACAGTATTTGTATAAAAGAAAAGGGAAATTATGTAATTAGTTTTGCAAAATAAATAAATAAATTTTTATTGAGGAAAAGTACATTCATAGTTGATTTACAAACATAAGGTTGGATTTATAGATAGAGCTAGTACATACAATACCTAAAGTCACTAATACGCATAGCGTTTCGGGCAAATTGTTATTTGCTTAACTAAATGAAGTGTGGGGTTCGGTTCCTAAACCCATTATGTGCCTCTGTAACCCTTTCCATCACTGCCCACAGGATGGGTATGAGGTGCATAATAAATGACTATACTGGCTTACTTCTCGCGAAATCTAAAATGAGATCTCGGCTGAATGTGGCAGCCAACCTCAATGTGCCTTAACCAAAACTGTTACTTGGCGTGAAAATCTTCAAACGATGGTTAATTGTGTAGTTTTTGCACATTTAAAACACAGTATATTAGCCTTGAAATTAATACTGCACACCCACAGGTGAAGGTGAAATTGTTCTGCAATTTTCTTTTCAATCACTGTTTTATTTATAAAAACACATTAAATGGTTATGCAGCTACCCATTTATTGATACTATTTACAAATATACAAAACTAAATGTTAATCTGCACATTTCTTAGTTCTTATTATCTGGGTACAGTACATTGATGACACTAATAATGCTCAAAGGATACATATAGGGAAAAAGGTTGTAAAAACTGCTGCTTTACGGTATGCTGTGGGGTCCAGTCCAGTGGATCATTTTACATGTAGTTATGACTGGAGATTTTGTATTACTGAATTGTCACAGGTGAATCGAGAAACTAAACTCATTACTTCAAAAAAGTTATTAGTTCCTCATCAGGCCCTGTGAAGTCCTTGAAGATAGGGCTACTGAATATCCATATCAGATACCTTTGCTGTAGGTCACCTTGTATCTTTTTGCTCTTGTATTTGGATCCTGAGTGATTTTAGTATCTTTTTGAATGTCCCACAACACTGTACTAAGTCTTCACAATTTTATGCCTTTGTATGATAATTCCTTACTTACTGAAATAAAATAATGTCATTTGCTTACCTGGCAAATAATTACACTGCAACCTCTTTGAACCTCTCAAACAAATATGGTACAGAGAATTAAGGTGACCTGACCACTACTATCAAGTACATAGTTTTAAGATTACCTCAAGCTTTTCTGAGAATAGCACTTGAGCGTGATAAGAAATGAATGTATGAAATTTTGCTTATCTTTGATGTTTGTAATGTTTCTGCATAAAAGTCTTCCAGTTTAGTGGCTGCTTCATAATAATATCTTTACGTATCCAACAGGAAACTAGAGGTCAAGCAGATGACAAAATATATCGTGGCTTGAATAACTACAGTCAATTCTATGAAAAGAAAGATACAGCTCAGGGTAATGCAGCAAGTGGAGGGGTCCGCAAAGGTCCCATTCGAGCCCCGGATCATCTGCGAGCAACAGTAAGATGGGACTACCAGCCAGATCTGTGCAAGGACTACAAGGAGACTGGATTCTGTGGTTTTGGAGGTACTTTATATACAGTACTGCACTTTGTTTGAATTCTAGTGATTTTTCCATGTTACCCAGTTGAACTTGCTGAGTTATATGAATACTGTATGTATTTTCAATGGGTATATACTACTGTACATGTATATAAATTTTATTTGAGGTTAGGCATCACCTAAATGTTTTTATCATGATGCATTGCATCTACTTCTATCAGATTTGTGAGTGAATGAAGTTATAATTAGAAAAGTAAGTATGTTTTCAGAATTCACTAATAAATGTATGCTGTAAGTTGAACAAATATATCTGGGGGATCTGGAGCTTTGGCTGGTCATTGGATAACTGCAAATTTCCTTTTCATCTCTGTGATGCAGTCATGATAATAACATGGCTGAAAATTAGACACCCAAACCATATACAGTATCTGAAATTCAAGCTGGCAAGTTCCTACTGCAACTTTTCTATACTTAGTAATAATACTATTATTATTATTATTATTATTATTATTGAGAAAATCCACTAGGGCAATGAGATGTGTACGAACCTATGACTTTGGAATTGCCAAGCCACATATGCTACCACTAGACCACCGTTGACTTGTTAAAATCATTCAACTGAATTTCTACTGAAATCACAGGGAGTCTGGAAGCTCCTACTGAAGCCAGTCCAGTCATAGGTTAGCACCCACCTCATAGCCCTAGTGGATTTTCACATTGATATATATCACAGTAATGTGACTTCTGTGTGATTAATAATAATAATAATAATATTGTATTATAGTACAGTATTATCATGCATTTAGTATAAAATTTGTGATTGGAAAGTGTCCCTTATTATTAATTTTTGCTGTTGCGGCTACAACACTTTTTAACTTCACTCACAGCTGTAATCAGTTTAATAAATCACTGAAAATATAGCTTCTAAATCTAGTTTATACAGTAATTATTATGATGACATGTTATCCTATTATAATGACTTTGGTTAAATAATGTACTGTAATTTTATAAATGATAAATTCACAAACATATACACATATGGTTTTTGAACTTGAATTTGAATGATTAAACTTGTGCATTACATTACTTCACAAGCACTTCTTGTGTGTTTTTTACAGATGTTGTATTTGTTTTGTTCTCCCTTCAATCCTTGCAACTTTCTGCTGTCCTTCATTAATCTGCCAGTTGAGGGACTGCTTCCTCAGGGTCCGTCTAATTACCACAAGCTACACAAGCTTCAGAGAAAGCTTCCTGGCAATACGTTAGTAATGAATAAATATGAAATGTTAGGTTAGGCTGACCTAACCTAAACTAACCTAACCTAACCTAACCTAACCTAACTTAACCAAACCAAACCAACCAAACCTAACCTAACCTAACCTAACCGACACTTGGATCGTCGACTTTATTTGGCGTCACCAGCTCTTTATTTTCGTCTAATTTCTTAATAAAAATATACTTTTTCAGATTAAAATTATGTTTTCTCGTGTTGTACATTCAGCACCAACATTATAATGAGTAAATATATCATATTATTCATTACTAACATAAGCTTTGTGAAGCTTTGTGAAGCTTGTGTAGCTTGTGGTAATTAGACGGACCGCTTCCTCAGATTTGGTCAGTTGACATCTCGCTGCATGTCACTAATAGAAGAGATAATGAGTGTGTTCTTGTCTCAGTTTATTGGTGTTTCATTGAGCCACATTCATCCTGTTGTACCACCTGTTGTTCTGTAATTTATTTGTACTGTATATACACAGCACACTCTTAGTCTCTCCATTGTGGCATTTTTCTACCCTGTGCACCTTTTCTGAGGAAATTCAGTATTAATTCTTAGGAAATTATAGAGAAAGTGTAAGAATTTAGGAAAACCAACAAAATTTAGGTTCTAGAGTTTGGCTGTGATAAGCTGAGAAAGAGGGATTTATCTCCAGAGCATGCCAAACCAAAAATAAAAATAAACATACTGTATATAAAATGTCCCGGTACAGTACTAACCAAAAAACCTCATGACGTCATGTTAAAAAACAAGATTGCTATGGATTGCTGCAAAAATATTTAGTTTTTGTATAACATGGGTCTGGAGAGCTGAAAACCAGGTTTTGTTCCCCAGTATTCCCAGGCAAAAAAGTAGTGTTAACAATTTAAACATTTTGTTATAATTTCATTCAAAAACATATCGAGATTATGAGAGAATAATGAATAATTCTACTACAGGTAAAGTTACTACAAGTAACCCAGGATAGGCCAAAACATCATCACTTTAAATATTTTTTGAATGTGAGGGATGTGTTATTTATTTCAGTCACATTATTGTGACTTATTCTCTGCATATTACAGGTGGTCAATGCTTGTAAATCGGAAACCAATTTTCCCTAAGCATTATGCTATAAGTGGATGTTGTGTTCCCAGACCATAGTCATTTATTTCTAGGATACCATTTATCCCTTATATATTTTTCAAGTCCTATTCTATACTATTCAAATCTCCTTTTAGTTATTGTGTGTTTTCTTAGTACAGTATATTCACTTTCATTCACTGTGGCAAAGAAACCATATATTGAATCTGTTTTTTTTATGTTGCCAATTGTTTAAAGTTATAGAGACATTGTTAATTTATTTGATTAATTTAATGCCTCAAGCAACTTGTCTTTGGTGATTCTGAAGCATTATTTAATTTACATACTCATTCTACTACTGTATTTCAGAAAGTATTGGCTTCTGTCTGTAAGTTTATAAATTGAGTACATTTGAATATTTAATAAAACTATAATTTGTGTCCACTACATTTCTAATCTGAAGATTAGAAATGTTAGTGATTAAATTATGTGTAGTACAAAAGACTTAATGCTGTTTTTTATTTTCAGATAGCTGTAAGTTTTTGCACGACCGGACAGATTACAAGTTAGGCTGGCAGCTCGAGCTAGAAACTAGCAAGCAGAGAGGTGGAGACTGTGACTCGGATGAAAACTGGGAGATCCCAAGTGACGATGAGCATCTTCCCTTCAAGTGCTTCATCTGCAGACAGTCTTTCACAGATCCAGTGGTTACCAAGTGTAAACATTATTTTTGTGAAAAGTGTGCCCTTGACCACTTCAAGAAAACGAAACGTTGTTACGTGTGTAGTGAAAATACGGGAGGAATGTTTAACCCAGCTGTTGAGCTTATAGCCAGATTTAAAAACGAAGATGTGGATGACAGTGACTAAGATGTCAATTTTTCGTAAATGTGTTTTTTTGTTTTTTTTTTTTTTACATATTTTAAAACAAAAGTAATTGAGGTGAAAGATTATTTTATAATTGCAAAGTAAATACGTCTGTTGTTGGCTGCATGGACTCATAATTTATATCTTTTAAGAATTAATTGGTATTGTTCATTAAGATTTCTTTATTACAAAATGCTAAAGTTGAACTGTGCATTGGTATTTGAGTCAATTTCAAGAATATTGCATTGTCTACAGACACCAGTTATAATATGGTAAATGATACAAAACTCAGAAAAAATACTCATAATTTGAGCTGAATGTATGTAATGTACAATCGGTTATGCAATTCAGCCTCAGTTTGTATCAGTTGTTTCAGACGTACCGATTTGTTTTCTTATAAAATTCTCTGACTTCAAGAACTCCCATAATGCATAATGTTAAGGGACCTTACATACGAATCCCACAATTTGTTTCATTGGTTTAAATGTAAAACATGAATATCATGCTATAATTAGATTCTCAATATCCTATGAAAATATATAAATATATAATTTTGTTAAAATAGTTTATGACGATTTGCCAAACCACTCATTTTTGCCAGTTTACAATACAGTGGCAGCCAAAAGGTAATTGTATTACTGCAGTAGATTCCAGCTTCCTAATTTAATTTGCCATGATGGATATCATAATTTTTGGTTGCCCAACAACAGCATTTGGTTATCAAAATAACTGGACAATGAGACAATCTGGTATGACATTACATTACAAGAAATGGTAAGAGTTCTTCTGAATAACACAGATTTGACTGACTTACTGACATGGTTCACGACTGAACAGTTCATATACTTAACATTAATTGGCAACAATTCTGCCTCACGGTACTTGGTTAACCTCCCTACCTGATCAACCAGGCTGTGATTCATACGTTAGGCTGCAAGCAGCCGCATTCAACAGCCAGTTTGACCAGATCACCAACCACCAGGCCACAGGGACGTTGATCCTCAAAATCACTACAAGTAACTGCATAGTGACTACAGCAAATGAAAGGAACAAGTGTCAATTCATTAAGCACAGGTACTTGGACATGGATAATGGCATGGTCAACAATGAAATGTAGATTCATGGAGCACTCTCTCTGAAAGAATTAAATATCTATAGCATGCACTATACTTCATAGCTATATGTGGATGTATGATTTATCTCATGCTGTCACTTCCTCTTGGAAAACAACCAGGGAAGTTCTTAGGTGCTGGCATACGAGGAGAGTCAATATACAACCTATCAGTTTTGAAGCTCACACTGGTTACTATAGCAGTGCGCTCAGCAAGTTGTTACTGGGGATTTAGTGGTTCCACGCACGTAAGATCCAATCATCACATAAATCTCGGCTCAAACCAGATGAGTACAGTACTTAGTTTCAGATGCAGTCACATCCACAATCAGCAAACTCAACACATTGCCTTTGGTGACATATATAGCTGGCTAAGATCATGATGGTGAAAAGCAATTACCAACTAGGGTGGAGAACAGACCTGGGGCAGCTGAACAGGTGGAGCAACACAACATGATAGTAAGTGACAAGGTTGTCTGGAAGCGACCTACCTACCGCCTACCAGGAAGTGTGTGTGGCTATCCATACACACTATCTTTATTTCATTGTGATATTGCAGAAAACAGTACAGCATCTTTGAAAAAAAAAAAAAGAGACTAGCTTTCTGTAACTACTTCTAGTACTTAATGAATGAGGTAAGTAAGGCTGTTTATTTGTACAGCTGGTGAAATTCACATGCAGTTAACTAGACGTAGTGCTTACTTAGAGGATAGTTAAACTTGGTAGGCTTGGAACAAGACTTTTTTTTTTATGGTGACATGCATTTGAATGCTCTTCTCAGTAATGTTCTATTCCAGACCTGCACTTTTGCAGCCTTTTTTATAGGCTATTGAAACTGCACACCTCACTGTAGGCTTATTCTTACTGATTGTGAATCGCCACTGTAAGCATTTAAAGACTGCACTTCTCTCTAATTACCTACCAGTAAATATCTGTATAATGGTGATTGAACTAGCAGGCTCGTTAGTTTACTCGCATCCCACGTTCTTCATCGAGGCTCCAGTGAGAGATTATATATCCAAGCTTTTACTATTTGTAAGGGTGACTTTTCATACACAACAGAAAAACTATATTATTACTTAGGTAATAGGCTTTAATTAGATACAGTATCTAGTTTATTTCATTTTTTTTATATACTTTACTGTACAAGGTACATAATATCGGTGTCCTTACATTCATGCAATTTAATATATTTTCAGTATAATATTTAATTCCTTAAGTCTAGAGGAAGATTATTAAAGCTAACTATGCAGTGACCCAAATACAGTATTTGGCAAATTATTTCCTCAGTGTAAAGAATAATGGTGTGAGATCTGTTGAGTCATTTTACCCACAAGTTTTGTTGATATCCTTCCATGCCTGACCTAGCATAGTGTGAGAATATAGTCAATTGGGAAAGAGTTTCCACGCTGCTTAAGCTTAAACATGCTCAAATGGTGCAGTCATGGCAGTCTTAATGAACTTAAAACTAAGCTAGAAAAATCAATTGTACTGCAACCCTTAATGAATTAAGTATGGAAGAATTAAGTAAGAGAATATGTTCCTGAAGTTATAGTGTTTGCACAATAATATTAGAAGAAGGATTAGGCAACAAAAACATGTTGACAAATTGTCATGGTGGCATTGTGGTAATCCACTTGTTCGATGCCTTGCCACCGATTTCATCTGTATTCAAACCCAGGCAAGGGAGGATTGACTGGGTGCCAATCCTTAACTGGTCACCCCTGTCCACTCAGCAGGAAATAGGGACCTGGTTGTAAACTGATTAGCGAGTCATGTTCCAGGAAAAACTAGTAGGATAGGGCTCAATATGAACTATGGGAAGGGACGCTCAAAGTCTGCAAACAGGCTTCACTCAGCAGTGTGAAATTAAAACATATAATAGTTACCAGTTTCCTTTGAATTTTTTACCAGAATTTTACCTGAGGGGCCACTAACACTAGTGACCTTGACGAGGACAGGAAGCCAGTGGCTTGTCAAAGGTCCTCCCAGTTTCCCTGAGAAAGGGGTGGGGCTTGATAAGGCCTTTGAAGCTGTGGGAGGATCGACTTTTTTATGCTATATCATCATCATCCTGGGGGTCAAGATGTGACCCTGGCGCACTGTTCCCTCTTGAATTCTGATGACCCTGACCAGCCTATTCTGGGGACAGTCCTGTACCCCAAACTATTCACCCCTGCAAGGTTGGGTGAGGATAGCCAGAAGCATCTGTCCTCCAACCTTGGCCAGACAAACATTCTTATATGGATAGAATGGGTACCCAGCTGCACCCAAGTCTCATTACCCCTCTACACCCTTTCCCCCTCTTCACCCCTCTTCACTCAATCTCCACCATACCCTCCCTCGTCCCCTTCCCCCCTTATCCTCCCCTTCTGCTAGAAAATATATTAAGAAACTGACCCAACTCAGGGTTTCAAAATATATGATTATGAAATAATAAGAACCTGAGTAAAAACACCCAAATATTTAACACTTGACTCCATGAAAATATCATGGGGAAAGGGGGGCTCTATAAATGCTGTTATTTCTTTAAGTCTTTAACTAAGGCTGGTTCTGACCAGCTTATGGCCGTCTCGTACTCCAGATCATTTTCCTTCCAAAGTTGGGTGAGACTAGCTCGTCTGGCCATCAACCTTGGACAGACAAGCAGACAGACATTCCCTCTCATATACTGTATATAGATTACTTGATGTCTAGTTAATGTTCACCTCAATGTAGCTCATTGGCCCTGCAACCCAGTGCAAGAGATAAGAGATTAGAGGATCTACAATATCCGTATAATACAGGGTGCAACACATTTGGGAAGGATGGAGGGGGGGGGGAGTGGCTGTGGCATGTGAGGAAAGGATGGGGGGGGGGATTAGGCAACAAAAGATAAACTGATATAGTCACTATATCAGGGCATGTAAGGAGAGATGAGGGAAGGATGGGGAGGTGGCAGTGGCATATGAGGAGAAATGAGGCAAGGTTGCGGGGGCGGCTGTGGCATGTGAGGAGAGATGAGAGAAGGAATGGGTGGGTGGTGGTAGTGGCATATGAGGAGAGATGAGGGAAGGATAGGGACGTGGCAGTGACATATGAGGAGAAATGAGGCAAGGTTGTGAGGAGAGATGAGGGGATGGTGGTAGTGACATATGAGGAAAGATGAGGGTAGGCGAGGCAGACATGAGTGTGAGGGTGGCCGAGGGGCCTCATATCTCCCGCTCCAGCCGACCGTTTCGTCTGCTAAAGCCCAGCTGGCAGACGACACCCCAATTTGTACAATAAACTGGGTCAACGAGCCACAGGTTGAAGAATATTGCAGTGGCGCTAAACACAGTCGCAATTTCTCATAATAATTTGTATATTTTGTATTAATAAATTAACTCAACAAAGGCTGTCAACAGTTTCCTTCTTTTCCAAACGAGTGTAGTCAATGTTTTGATGGAAGTTCAGTGTGGATCGTTGAACCTGGAGTATTACTAATTTAGTCACTATATCTAACCCACCACGTGTATGGACTTAGCATTATAACCCCGAGTGTGACTGAGTGAGACGCAGTATTAGACTAGACCACTTGGCTCAAACTGTAGTGTTTTAAGAAGGTGGATGAGGGTGGTGAGAGTGGAGGGGCAGGCCAGGGCTCCTACACCTCCACCAAACTATCTTACTACTACCATTACCTTAGCTAACGACCCTCAAGGCTGGTCACGGTAAGTGTGATTGTCTTATTAACATATCGTCTGTGTGTATGTGTGTCTTGCTGTCTATTCCCTTCAGGCAGTTGTCATAGAGAATGTCATTTGGAGAGTGCCAGCTGCCATATAATGCCATGTTGGGAGCCTTAAGACTATATTACTCTGAGGTCGTGTGCCATATAGTTATTGAAAGGCTTTATTGTGGGTTTTGTAGTAGAGTTGGCTTGGTTCCCGACCTGTATTTGGGGAACCTGGGTTTGATTCCCGGGCGAGATAGAAGTGGTTGGCCAGTTTTCTTTTCACCTAATGGCTCTGTTTACCTAGCAGTAAGTAGAGACCTGGGAGTTAGGCAACTGCCGTGAGGTTGTAGCCTGATGAAGGTCAGTGGTTTGACCTTAGGAGAACCTTGGTACAAGCCCCAAGAATATATATATATGCACAGGCTTCCTGTCTCTTGACAAAATTAATTAATACCTAGAATATGGCTCATGTGAAATAAAAAAAATAAAATCTTATAATTAAAAATTATATATTACCATTACTTGTTTCTGTATCTTTTTTTTTTTTACTCCAGTTGACATATAGCTATTTTCCAGCTACATGTAGCCTAATGGCAGGACTTGGTAAATGTGGCATATATGATCATTGGCCTCATGTACACAGGGCTGTTTTATGTTTTTTACTTAATGTCAATGCTGAAGTAAAGGTCATGTACAGTATGTC